TGGTTTTTCATGGTTTCGAGAGCCCGAAAAGGGGGGCATCCATCTTGGGTCGGCGGAGTGGCGCGACTCCAAGGGAGGGTTGGGGGGGCATAGTGATGTAAAACAATGCAATAAATGTGGCGAGTCTACAACGATGGGATAATTTGGATACGTTGCATTATCGCCTCCGCAGAAAAACGCTACCGCTCAGAACGTCACTTCTGGACGTGGACTCCCTCAAGCAACGCCCGAATCCCGACCCCTTCTGCAAGGACTGCTTTTTCATCGTCCACTTTTTTGACGGCCCCGGGGCCTGGCCCAGCCAGGGCCCCCAGAGACTGAAACGACGAAAAAAACCGTACTGCTTTTTGCTCGACGCTTTGGATGTCACACCCCTCGCACGCTTCGTGGCCCCATAGGGAGCTCCATCGAAGGGCCCGGTGGCGATGCTCACATGCGTCCATCTCGCCCACTACGGCGCACCCCTCGCACGCTTCGTGGCCCCGTGGGAAGCTCCACTGGAGACGCTGCGCATACCTGCATCACTCCTAACTGCACAGAAGCGACGAAAATGCACGGGCCTTACGCGAGATGACCCAGCGACCTTCCGCGGTGGCTTGCGCGGGCCGCCAGCGCGGCATGCCGTGCGAAGAACGAGGGTGCTCACGCGCGACCTCCCGCGGGCAGCTTACTGTGTTCTGGCGTCGTTCAGATGGTCGGGCCCTTCGCCACGATGGCTTCAGCACATTGTATGTCGGCGGCCCCGAAGTGTGTGGTCTGCAAAGGGTGTGGTTTGCGACTGGCACCCTGGGGGGCACCTGGGGGGCCGGCGAGGACCTCCATAGGGTTCTCAGCCGCACCCCGAGGAGGCCCGACGATGACAGCGTCGTGCGCCGATCGCAGACCACACCTCAGCGTAACCACACCCTTTGTAGTCGCCGAGGACGCCTAGGTGATGTCTGGGTTCACTCGGCGGCGAACCATGGGAGGGAGGGAGAAGAAAAAGGCCTTCTGAGAAGACTCGGAAGACCCCTGGCCTTCTGACAAATTCTCGAGGCCCTTTCCCGACGACGCATAACGAAAACCACAGAGGGCGCGAGGGTTTCTGAGAAGCCCCGCCGCCTCCTGAGAGGGCCTCCTCACTCTCATTTCCTCAGGGACCTACTGACCCGGGTCAATCCAAACCCGGATCTGTCAGGCCCTGCAGGATCCTGCAAGATCCTGCAAGATCCTGCAAGATCCTACAGGATCCTCCAGGATTCTGCACGCTAACCCGGGTCAGTGCAACCCTGGCCCTGCAAGATCCTGCAAGCTCCAGCGCTCTGGCTGACCCCCGTTTGCATGGACCCCCGTCTCAAGGCCCCCCAATTTCTCCCCCGTCGCTCGCCGCAAGTCCACCCTCCCTCCACGCAATCCACCCCATCCACGGTTTCAACAAACCCCACCCCATCCACCCCATCCACCCCATCCCCCAACGCAATCCACACACGCAGTTCACCCCATCCACCCCATCCACGCAATCCCCCCACGCAATCCGCTCCATCCACCCCGTCCACCGAACTTCTCCCCCATCCCTCGCCGCCGGTCCACCCACCCCCCACCGCAGTCCACCCCATCCACGGTTTCAAAAAATCGCGGAGCGCCGCGGCCCCGACAGGAGCGGCAGGGCAGCAGGGAGCGGAGGCGCGGAGCGGTGGGGGGCGCGGGGCGGTGGGAGGAGGCGCGGGCGGGGGAGGGGCTCTCCTGGGCTGACCTCCCTCCTCCTCCTCCTCCTCCTCCTCTCCTCCTCCTCCTCCTTTTCCTCCCTCCTCCCCTCCCTCCTCCTCCCTCCTCCTCCTCCCCTCCTCCTCCTCCTCTCCCTCCTCCTCCTCTCTCTCCTCCTCTCTCTCCTCCTCCTCTCCTCCTCTCCCTCCTCCTCCTCCTCCTCCCTCCTCCCTCCTCTCCTCCCTCCTTCCTCCTCCTCCACCTCCTCATCCGTCCTCCTCCTCCCCTTTTCCTCCTCCTCCTCCTCCTCCTCCTTTTCCTCCTCCTCCTCTCTCCTCCTCCGCTTCCTCCTCCTCCTCCCCCTCCCCCTCCTCCTCCCCCTCCCTCCTCCTCCTCCACCTCTTCCTCCTCCTCCTCATCCTCCTCCTTCTCCTGCTCCTGCTCCTCCTCTTCCTCCTCTTAGGATCCAAGGGGCGGAAGATGCGGGCTAGGACTACGCTAGACTGCCACGAGAGTGCACCCGCACGGCGGGCAGGTTAGAGGAGGAAAGGGAAGAGGGAAGGAAGGGAGGCAGGAGAGGGATGGAGGGGAACACTGGGGAAGAAAACAGGGGCAGGAGGGGATGGCAGGGCCGCTCTACACGATGTGTTTTGTCAACTAGCCATATTGTGCCATCGCCGCGACGTCTGGGAGCGAGCGGACGAGGGCACGAGAGCCCCGAAAAGATAAACATAGAGTGAGCGAACGAAGAACATTGTGAAAACAAGCACCCTTCAGGAGCCGAGGCATTGGGCTGGCGCAGGGAGGCGAGTGAAGCTTGAGTCGCAATGGTTGCGGACCCGCCCCCCCCCCCTCCTTCACGCGCACGCACCCCCAGGAGGGGATGACAGGCCGCTCTACACGATGTGTTTTGTCAACTAGCCATTTTGTGCCATCGCCGCGACGTCTGGGAGCGAGCGGACGAGGGAACGAGAGCCCAGAAAATATAAACATAGAGTGAGCGAGCGAAAAACATTATGAAAAGAAGCACCCCAAACCTCCCGATCCGAAGGTAGAGTGAAGTTATCAAATGCTATACTCACTGCGGGCTTTCGAGACCAAGACGGATGCCAGCACGTGGGCCAGGCGAGCGGGGCACGGCATTGCCAGCACCGTCCAGCGAATTCCTTTAGGCCCCCCGCCTTCCAGGTGCTGGTGTGGGCGTCCCGTGCGGCTGCAGACTCCACGCCCAGAGCAGACCCGATTAAGCTTTACAGGGTCGTCGGGGCAAACATTACCGACCAAAAAACGAATCCTCTTTCGCCACGGTTTCCCCCATTGACAGAAATCAATTATAATTTGAGCGGCCCCACTTCGTGCAACAAGAATTTTGAGCTTGTGGTCGTGCCACATCTTAGATGTATGCGGGTTCTCCAAACCCAGGGGACCCCGGCGGATTGGGCAGCACGGGCCAGGTCAAGAGCAGCGTTCAGCGTGGCAATACCGACAGCGACCTTGGCCACATCGCTGGCCTTTAGACCCGGATCCCCCTGATAAACTTCCTAGACCGAATTGGACATGTACGATCTCGAGCAGCCGACCACGAGCTGCAGGGGGGGGCAAGCACTAGGCCAATACATCGGCCGTTGGCGAGGTCTTGCTTTATGGGTTTTCGGACGTCCCACTCCCGAGCTCTGAAACCGGCCAACCGAATTTTCTTGCTCACCACCCCGCAGCCCGAAAAACAATATGCTACATATGTCATACTCACACATGCTGGGGACCGAGGTTGAGCGAGCTTCACCTGCCGGGGCACACGCCCGCGCGCAGTGACTCGCAGCATACGCAGTGGCTTCGCGCGCGGGCGTCCTGCTCGCCGAACTCCGGCCTCACTCGCGCGTGCTTCTCGTACCCAGAGGTGCTTTTTTTCCTTTTAATTAGAAAAGGATTCATTTTCAAAATTTTCTGAAAACGCCCGCGGGCGCCCGGCAAAAAAATAGAAACAACAGTAAATGGCCCGACAAATGTCCAGCAGACAACACTTTCCAATCGGTCAACACGAACTTATGTTTTTGTTACAGAAAATGGGCAGTTCTCTTACTCCTTTCACCTTGCCTCTCGCGCCGCCGCTATTTCCGAAACAAGCGAATGCGATGCGCGTCGAAAGGTAGGTCAAGTCAGGCAAATTGTCCGTAATCCACGGCCGACATCTTTCATAGAAGTGCTCGCCGCGCATGGATTCAAACGGATCCTCCTCCTTCCTTCTCCTACTCGTCCTCCTATCCTTGCCCTCCTCACCCACGTGGCCTTTCCTCCCGCTTATAAGCTACTGGTGCGTTTTTTTATTCCCACGCAATCTGCGCCCGACGGCCCCCGCACGAGCGGGCTGCTGGCGCGCCCTCCCCCGTTGTTTTTTTTCCCGTCGTCGTGGCAAGTATCGCGAGACCAATGCCCGTGCAAGATATCAGTCGATACCTCCGCGTGCCTGGGCGTGTCCTTCCACATATTCCACGCCCCCTCCGTCCCGCTCCTCCTCCTCCTCCTCCTCCTCCTCCTCTTCCTCCTGCTCCTCCTCCTCCTCCCCCTCCTCCTCCTCCTCCTCCTCCCCCTCCTCCCCCTCCTCCTCCTATTCCTCGTTTTCCTTTCCCCCCGCATCTACGGTAGCGTTCCCCCCGCGCTGCTTCATCTCAGTCGCACTCGCAAGCCTTGCGGTTTGATGATGGCGGCGGGTCCTCCTCTTCCTCCTCCTCCGCCTCGTCCTCCTCTTCCTTTTCCTCCTCCGCCTCCTCCTACTCCTTCTCCTCCTCCTCCTCCTGTTCTGCCACGCCTTCGTGTATGTATATATGTATGTATGTACGTATGTATGGATGTACGTATGCAGGTGTACACACATGTGTATATATATGTATGTATGCATGCATGCATGCATGCATGTATGTATGTATATTTGCATGCATATATGTGTACACATACCTATATATCTATGTAAGGATGTATGTACATAGTTGCGTGCGCATGCATGCATGCATGCATGTAGGGGGAAAAAGGAAGAGACAGAGAGAGAGAGACGGAAATGGTTGTGTCGCATGTTCTCTGCAACAGCGACGCGGTCCACGGAGGCGCCCGACCCCTGCACACCCCTCAATTAGGAAAGGTGGCCTCGCGCAATGGGTTCCCCCCTTCGGAACAGCAAGAACCCCTGTGAAACTGAGCAAGGATCCCGCTTTAGGGCGTATGGCAAGGAACCCTTTTTTGGGCGTGGTTGAAAACATAACCCGTTTTTGGGCGTGGTTGAGAAATTAGCTAGCGAGCAACGGTTCAGGGCACAGAGCAGAGGCTCAGTGCACGATCAGATTGGAGTTCGCGGCCGCGAGGTCCACCTGGGACGGGGTTGCGGGCGCGCAGGAGCAGGAAGAGGAGGAGGAGGGGGTAGCGGAAGGGCAGGCGAGGACGGGGATTCGAGGAGAATCAGGGGCACGGGGGGGGAGGAGGAAAGGTCGGGAGGACGAGGAGAACGATACGGAGTAGCAGGATGAGAAGCATTAAAAAGCAACAGAGTAGGACGAGGAGACTGGGGAGCATGAGTGGGGGAAGAAGGAAGGGATCCCTAAGACGGGGGAGGACAGAGAGGCGGCGGAAGATGGCTCGCGCCGACCGCTCGCTCCGCGCCAGGATCCGTTCTGTCGTCCTCATCGTCGTCGTCGTCGTCGCCGTCGTCGCCGCATTCGTCGTTGGCATCGTCCTCATCGTCCTCGTCGTCCTCATCGTCGTCGTCGTCGTCGTCGCCGCCGTCCCCGTTCCTCGTCGCTCCTCCCCCTCCTCCCGCCTCCCTTGCTTTCCACGCTCTCCCTCCTCTATCCTTGTCCTCGTACCTCCTCGTATCCCTGGTCGGGGGGCGGGGCGGGGCGGCTGCTCCCGATCCACTGTCGTGGATGCCGTCCGACGCCGTTCAAGCTCTGAGCTGTAGATCGAATATTGGCAATGCTGATCCTCCCCGTCATCCCCCACCCTCCTACGCCTCATCGTCCGTCCACCTCCTCCCACGCCTCCGCATCCAACCACCTCCATCCCCGTTCATCTTCAGTATCGTGATCCCTGCTCGTGTTGATACTTCCCCTCCGTGCCTTGCCGTAGTCATATTCTGCCTTTTCCTCCCCCTTCCCACTCGCGCCCCCTCTTCCTCCGCCTTCCCACCCACGCCCCATGCCCCTCCTCATTGTTCCAATCGCTCTCTTGCCCAAGCCTCCTCTCCAGTCGAAACGCGGGGTCCTCCTCGATCGCTGCGTAGTCGGCCAGCTGCCAGCCCGCCCAGCCCGCGGCCTGAGAGCGAGGGGGCGAGGCGGCTGCGGAGGAGGAGGAGGAGGAGGGGAAGATGCCGAGGAGGAGGAGGAGGGCGAGGCGGATGAAGATGATGAAGACGATGAGTACGAGAACACAATGAGGGCGAGGGGGAGGAGGAGGGCCAGGTTGAAGACGAGGAGGAGGAGGAGGAGGAGGAGGAGGAGGAACGTGATGATCCTGATGATGGAATGGATGTTGATGATGATGAGGAGGAGGAGGAGTCCTCCTCGTCGTCGTGGCCGTCGTCGTGGCGATCGTCGTCGTCGTCGTCGTGGTCGCCGTCGCGGTCGCCATTGCTGCCGTCATGGTAGTCGTCGTTGTCGCTGTTTTGGTCGTATCGACCGAGGTGGAGGGTCGTCGTGGTCGCCGTCGTTTTCGTGGTCGTGGTCTCCGTCGTGGTCTAACCGTGAACTTGAACAGACGTGTAACAAGGCACTTGAACAGCAGTCTAACCAGAAGTGCGAGCATAAATCTAACCAGAAACCGAAACCGAAGTCTAACCTGAAACTTGAACACTAGTCTAACCGTAAACTTGATCATACGTGTAACCAGCAACCCGAACAGAAATACAACACTTAATTTGAATATCAGTCTAACCATAATCTCGAACATAAGTCTAACAATAAACCTGGCCAGAAAATCAACCATAACATTTGACATACGTCGTATCAGAAACTTGACCAGAAACCAGAAAGTTGGGAATACGTCTAACCCGACACGTCGACAGTAGTCTAACCAGACACTCGACCAGACGTCAACCAAGAACTTTAACCAACGGCCTAATCATGCACTTGAACGGGCGTCTAACCAGAAACTTGAACACACGTCTAATCATGAATTTTAACAGACTTCCAGCCAGACGCTTCACTAGAAGCCTAACCAGAAACTCGAACATAAGTCGAACAATAACCTTGACCAGACGTCTAATCAGAAACTCAAACAGGAGTCGAACCACAAACTTGAACATAAGTCTGACAGTCAACTTGAACATACGCCTACACAGGGGAAGGATGAGGAAAGGTGGAGCGACGCTGTCATCAACCAGGTCGCCCCCGCCCCACATTCCCAACCACAGTTTAGAACATGCGAGGGGGAAAGGAGGAAGATGCGGAGGAAGAGAACAAGGAGGAGGAGGGGGATAACAGGGAGGAGGAGGAGGAGGAGGAGGAGGAGGAGGAGGTGTAGGAGCAAGCGGCGCGAGTCCTGTCACTCGCGTGACTCGTGGCCCGCGCGTCGGCCAGCCAGCGCCCTGGCGCCGTCCATCCTCGCGCGGAGGCGGGCTCGTCTAGGGCCCGTCCCTTTCCACCTGCCCTCACTCGCCGTTTCATTCGCTGTCTCACTTCAGGGTATAGCCTTTGCGAGCTTCAACTGTGGATGCGGCCTATCGACCTCCGTCCTAGGATATGGCCTCCGGGACCTCTTGTCGATCCATTGGGAAAGCCACGCCTGAGAGGCGGCGGATGGCTGAGCAGAAGCGGTAGGAAAGTTGAGGAGGATGAGGCGAGAGCACGACGAGAGAAACGCGAGGACGTAATAGGAGAGGCGGGGAGCAGAGGATACGGGAGCCGAGTAGGGAGCGGTCGGATCCGCTTTGCCCCCGTCGTGGCCGCGTTCCCGCCCAGACATTTCTTATGTGTGTTTCCCATGCTCTGATACTTCTCATGGTCGTCGTCGGCCTCATCACCCGTCTTCGTATCTTCCTCCTCCTTCTTCTCCTCTTGCTGTTCTGCTCTGCCCCTCCTGCCAATTGCGGCAAAAATGATAATGGCCGCAACCCTTGCTGTCTGGTCAGGTTTCGCTCGGCTCCAGTCGTTTCTGCTGCTGTTGGTGGTGCGCAGTCTCATTATCATTACCCTCCTCATCCTTCTCATCCGTTTCCTTCTTCTCCTTTTGCATATACCATCGCAGCGACCTGTTACGCCGTTGCAAAGCACAGTTCTTTGATACATACGGGAGGAGTCTGAGCCTGTTGAAAATCGTGCGTTCCCAATTTGATTTGCGAGCGACAGCGGCGACCCCTGCTATTATTAAATTAAGGCTCTCGTCCAAGAATGTGCTGTAACATCTAGGATTCCCTTGGTTGGGGATATTAAGTGTAAGATGGACGAACATGTGTGACTTGGGCTGAAAATCCTCACCCGCCTCGCCCATCAAGAAAAGGTGGCGCTTGCAAAGAAACAGTAAACGCTCGCGAGTCATTAACGGGACTCGAAACTCTGACTCTTTCAATATTTTGATGTATTCCAGCACGGCCTCGCCAGCGGCGAGCAGCCTAGCTCCGCGTTGGAATCTGCCCTGCTCCCTACGGAGGTAATCTACAACCCATCTGACGAGAACTCCAGTTTCTGCAGCCTTTGCTTTTAAACCTTTCATGCTTCCAGACGCCCCGATCATAGACAAACTTCGCGTCGAAAGTTGGTACGACAAATCAATACTCTCACGCGTGCACCAAACTTTATAGTCGTTGAATAACCGTTTCAATCCAGCTGCCCACAACGCTGCCTGTGGTGCGTCGATTCCCCACGGGTTTGATTTCAGCCACAGAACGGCATAAACAAAACGAGAGAATACTCCGAGGTATAATGCATGGAGTGTGTCTATATGCAACACAATAGCAGGACTCGTCCCAAGCTCGTGGGAAAAAAGTGGGCAACGGCGGTTGGTCCAATCCATTTTCCGATTTTTGTCATCTTTGTGACTCCTCCAGAAGATACACGTGAATCCAAGAGGGGCCGTCTCGAAGTCCGCGGGGTTGCGCAATTCTGAAGACGGCCCCAACCGATCTCCACGTTGCAAGCCGAGCGCGGGGACGGCCGCCCCCAACATGCGCCCAACCTTTTTGGCCCTGTCGTAATGCAGGAGCCCTTCCAAGATCACTTGCTGCCTCACTGCTTCCGTGTCTATCCGGATGCGGTGCTCACAACGTGTGCATTCACCTTCGTACGTATTAGGACGTGCCCCCCCAACCGTCATCGTCCAATGAGATGCCGTGGAAGTTGTACATGTTTGCTGCATCGCAGGAGCACAGGAAGCACGGGGCGTGATGGCTTGACCATTGAGGCATCCCCAGCGTATGACAGAATTCAGCCCAATCTGCTTTGACTTGTACAAGAAGGAACCTTGCCAAGAGCGGGGCCGCGTCGGCGTATGGCGAGCCCTCGGGCCAAGGGGCCCCGTCCACTTGGACTGCAGGGCGCCCCCCTCGGGTCGCCGCGGCGATCGACCATCTTATGTGGTCCAGCACGCCCCAGTACGTATCCCACCCTCCGCACCCACATTTGCAAACTTCGTTTTTCGAGAGGACTGCAAGCAAGTGTCTCCTCTGAGTACATAAGTTATAACATGTAAATGCAACAACATTGTCAGCTCTGCCTGGTCCTATTGCCCGTGTGTACTTTATCCCGTCCACGTAGACGGCCACTGGGAAAACTTGTCGGTCGTCGCCTGGAATACTCCTGTACACGTGCTCGTTGAAGGCCGGCACCCAATCTGCCTCCGACGGCTCCGCTAGAGGATGCCCAGAGGCGCTCAAGACCTTGAGCTCGGCATCAAGGACTTCGTGTGCAGGTGTCACTACCACGTCTTTCTTGCCCCTCCTGCCCTTCCCGTTGACGGGGAGAGAAAGCGCATTGAACTCGGGTGCCGACTCCTGCAGCGGAAGTACTCTTAACAAATGTCTCGAATAAGCGCCTGATTGTTTTCCTGGGGGAACCGCGCATCTAGAAATTCTGGTGCTAGTGACGCCAGCTGCAGCAGCCCAGTGGCACGCCAGACACAGGGCCGTCACGTCCATCTTCCCTGAGGCGTACTGGCGAAGAAAGTGCTCTTCGAGCTCACGTGCAGACTCCTCTTGGTCTGCTCGCCTCGCATGCTCGGCATCGCCCCAGCCTGTGTCCTGATCGAGATCTTCCCAGCTGTGCCTGCGCACTGGAGAATCCCAGCGAGCCTTCTTCGGTCGGGACATGCGAAGCAAATGCGATGTTTCTTATACAGCTTGAGCAAACATGGTTACGGATCACGACAGCGGCAACATGTTATG